GTCCTCGGCGCTGCAGCAGCTGTACATGCCCTGGGGGGGGGACAGGGGACACGGTGGCACTGGGGGGGGCAGTGCATGTGCCCCCGTGTCCCCTTGTGTCCCCAATCCCCCCAATGTCCCCTATGTCCCAAATGTCGCCAATGTCCCCCCAATGCCCCAATGTTCCCACTGTCACCAGTGTCCCCAATCCCCCTGCTGTCCCAAATGTCCCCAGCATCCCCATGTCCCCAATGTCCCCAGTGTCCCCGTGTCCCCGTACCCTGCTGATGGCCAGCAGGCAGCGCAGCCGCATCGGTGTCCCCAGGTGCCACAGCTTCCAGTGTCCCCAATCTCCCCACTGTCCCCAATCCCCCCAATGTCCCCTATGTTCCAAATGTCCCCAATGTCCCCCCAAATCTCCCCACTGTCCCCAACGCCCCCAATATTCCCAATGTCCCAAATCCCCTCAATGTCCTCAATGCCCCCAACACCCTCAATGTCCCCACTGTCCCTGTTGTCCCCAGTGTCTCCACTGTCCCCGTGTCCCCATACCCTGCTGATGGCCAGCAGGCAGCGCAGCCACCCCGGTGTCCCCAGTATCCCCAGTGTCCCCGCTGTCCTCACTGTCCCCAATGTCCCCGTACCCTGCTGATGGCCAGCAGGCAGCGCAGCCACCCCGGTGTCCCCAGTATCCCCAGTGTCCCCGCTGTCCTCACTGTCCCCAATGTCCCCGTACCCTGCTGATGGCCAGCAGGCAGCGCAGCCACCCCGGTGTCCCCAGTATCCCCAGTGTCCCCGCTGTCCTCACTGTCCCCAATGTCCCCGTACCCTGCTGATGGCCAGCAGGCAGCGCAGCCACCCCGGTGTCCCCAGTATCCCCAGTGTCCCCGCTGTCCTCACTGTCCCCAATGTCCCCGTACCCTGCTGATGGCCAGCAGGCAGCGCAGCCACCCCGGTGTCCCCAGTATCCCCAGTGTCCCCGCTGTCCTCACTGTCCCCAATGTCCCCGTACCCTGCTGATGGCCAGCAGGCAGCGCAGCCGCCCCGGTGTCCCCAGGTGCCGCAGCTTCCAGTGCACCAGGTGCTCCCAGGCGAAGACGAGCAGGCTGAGCCCCATGGCCACCAGCAGCATGTAGAACACCCCGGCCATGTTGTCGATGTCCAGCTTGCTGCTCATCACCTCCAGCTTCTCCTGGTGGCAGATCCCCGACAGCCAGAGCCGCTCCAGCATCTCGATCTCGTCTGCCGAGGGACAGGGACGGCGGTTACGGGGGGCTGGGGGGCCTTAGGGGGGTTAAGGGGCATCTCAGGGGGTTTGGGGGGTGTCTCGGGGGTTAGGGGGCATCTCAGTGAGGTTAGGGGGCATCTTGCAGGGGTTAAGGGGCATCTCAGGGGGTTTGGGGGTATCTTTAAGGGGTTAGGGAGCACCTTGGGGGGGTTTGGGTGTGTCTCGGGGTGCTTTGAAGGTCATCTTGGAAGGTTGAGGGGACATTTGAAGGTGTTAGAGGGTCCAAAACTTCTGCAGAACCCCCAGACCCACCAAAGACCCTCTAAAATCCCTCCAGGACACCCAAAACTCCCCAGAGACCCGCCCAAACCCAGGAGCTGGAGCAGGGTCAGGTCCATGGGGCGCTTACAGCGGGATGCCCTCTGCAGGGCGATGCCATAAGGACCCAAAAACCCCAAAAAAACCCCAAAAAACCCCCAAAAAACCTCAAAAAACCCCAAAAAACCCCCCAAAAACCTCAAAAAAACCCAAAAAAAGCCCCAAAACTCTTCCAAAAAAACCCCGAACCCACCGTCCCCCAGGAGCTGGAGCAGGGCCAGGTCCTGGAGACACTTCTATTGGGATTCCCTCTGCAGGGCGATGCCATAAGGACCCAAAAACCCCAAAAAAACCCCAAAAAACAATAAAAAACCCCCAGAGCCCCCCCAAATTCCCCCAAACCCACCGTCCCCCAGGAGCTGGAGCAGGGCCAGGTCCACGGGGCGCTTCCAGCGGGATCCCCTCTGCAGGGCGATGCCGTAGCCCGTGGAGGCAAAGACCTTCCCCGAGCCGATGGTGACGAGCTTGCAGCCCTCCTCCTTGCGGGCCATGTAGTTCAGCACGGCCGCGTCGTAGATGAAGGCGTCCAGCTTCCTGAGGGACACGCCCACCGGGATTAGCCACGCCCACTGCCAGGAGACCCCGCCCACAGCACATAAACCCCGCCCACAGGGCTACCTGTGCACACAATCCTGCCCCTGTACCCTGCCCATGGCCTATAGGCCACGCCCAGACAGAGCAGGCTCCGCCCACAGCCTCATCTCTGCATTAAGCCCCGCCCACGGTGCCATCTATGGTGTTGCCAATACCCCTAAGCCCCGCCCACCTGTCATTGTGGCTCCACCCACAGCCTCAGCTGTGCACTAAGCCCCGCCCACAAGATCAGCCATGGTGCCATCAATCCCCACAAACCCCGCCCATCACCTACAGGCCACACCCACATAATTAAACCACGCCCTGTGCATTAAGCCACACCCACAAATGGCAAATCTGTAGTCAACCCATGCCCACAAAGCCACACCCATTGCATAAATTATACAACAGCCACGCCCATTTGTCATCAGACTCCGCCCACTGTCATAAAGCTCCACCCCAACCCTCTTAAGCCCCGCCCCTTCCCCAAAGGCCCTGCCTCCATTCTGTCCATCATTTGCCACACCCACCAGACCACGCCCATCTCCCATAAACCCCTCCCCTCCCAGGCTCCTCCCATCCCAGACCCCGCCCCATTTCTCCCCATTCCCCTTCTTAATTGACTTTTTACTCCCTTTTTGACTTTTAATTCCCTTTTTAATTGACTTTTTATTCCCTTTTTTATTGACTTTTAATTCCCTTTTTTATTGCCCATTCCCCTTTTTTTCCCCTGTGCCCAAGTTCCCCCCTGTACCCCATTATTTCCCCCTCACACCCCATTTCTCCCCCATTTCTCCCCCGTTTCCCCCCATTTTTCCCCATTCCCCCATTTCCCATTTCCCCATTTCCCATTTTTCCCAATTTCCCCATTTTTCCCCATTTCCCCATTTCCCCATTTCCCCCAATTTTCCCCATTTCCCCATTTTCCCCAATTTCCCCATTTTCCCCATTTTCCCCAATTTCCCCATTTTTTCCCCATTTTCCCCATTCCCCCCCAGTCAAGCAGGATTCCAACCACACCATCGGGGTGGAGTTTGGCTCCAAGGTCGTCGGCGTGGGCGGCAAAAGCGTCAAGCTGCAGATCTGGGACACGGCCGGCCAGGAGCGCTTCAGGTCCCGCATCCCCAACTCCCCAAAATCCCCAAATTCCCAAATTCCCCAAATTCCCACTTTTCCCTCCTTTCCCCCCTTTTCCCTCAATTTTCCCCCATTTTTCCTCATTTTTTCCCTGATTTTTTCCCTTTTTTTTCTCATTTTTCCCTGATTTTTCCTTATTTTTCCTGGTGTTTTCCCTGATTTTTCCCGATTTTTCCCTGATTTTTCCTGATTTTCCCTGATTTTTTCCCATTTTTTTCTCATTTTTCCCAATTTTCCCTGATTTTTCTTTATTTTTCCTGGTGTTTTCCCGATTTTTCCCTGATTTTTTCCCAATTTTCCCTGATTTTTCCTTATTTTTCCTGGTGTTTTCCTGATTTCTCCCTGATTTTTTCCCATTTTTTCCCTGATTTTTCCTGATTTTCCCTGATTTTTTCCCATTTTTTTTCTCATTTTTCCCAATTTTCCCGATTTTTCCCGATTTTTCCTTGATTTTTTCCCCTTTTTCCCAATTTTCCCTGATTTTTCCTTATTTTTCCTGGTGTTTTCCCCTGACTTTTCCCTGATTTTTCCTGATTTTCCCTGATTTTTTCCCATTTTTTTCCAATTTTCCCTCATTTTTCCTGGTTTTCCCCGATTTTTTCCTGATTTTCCCCAGTTTTTCATTATTTTTCCCACATTTTCCCCCTTTTTTCCCCCTTTCTCCCCTTTTTCCAGAATTTTCCCCCATTTTCCTCATTTTTTCCCTGATTTTTTCCCTTTTTTTTCTCATTTTTCCCTGGTTTTTCCTTATTTTTCCTGGTGTTTTCCCGATTTTTCCCTGGTTTTTTCCCACTTTTTCCCTGATTTTTTTCCATTTTTTCCCTGATTTTTTCCCATTTTTCCCTGATTTTCCCTGATTTTTTCCTTATTTTTCCTGGTGTTTTCCCGATTTTTCCCTGATTTTTTCCCATTTTTT